TCGGGCCGCAGTCGGTGGGCAGGCAGGTTCGGGCGCCGGACAGCGGCCTCCGGACTCCACGCCTCCGTCCGCTGGTCCTGCACGCCTCGCACCGCAGCTGGCGCGGGACCAGGTCTCCGGACGCCCCCGGGTCCCACGTGTGAATTGAGTCCATGATGCCCGCGCCGCTGGGCCGGGGGTCCTGGGAGGCGCCTGTACCCGGCTGGGCCGGCCGCTGAAGCAGGTTGGGGTGCATCGGAGTCCGTGCGGGACAGGAAGCGGTGCTGGCGGAGCGGGGACTTTGGATCTGGAGGGAGGAGGGAGATTTCAGCGGGGGGAGCAGGAGAAGGAGCGTCCAGCCTGCTAGGCGAGGACGGCGATGGCAGACCTGGCCGGAAGCGGAGCAAATGCCTTCAGCTTTGAGCGCTGGGTCGCTGTTGAGTTGCCAGGACAGCAAGTAGCCTCCGTAGCTGAAGTAGCTTTCCCCAGTTTAAGGGGCCAGAATGGGCAAAGGCACCGAGGCCTGGGAGGGAGGACATGCCCTCCGCCGGGGCTTCCTTCTTCCGGCCATTCTCGGACCTGGCAGATGGTACACTGCCCGGAGTGAACCGATGTGAAGTCCAGGGCCAGTGAATGGCAGCGGCAGCGCCTTCTCGCTGCTGCTCTGGAAAGGAGAAAACCTTTTAAAAATGAAAGATGCTTATTTATCCAGGGTTTTCTGACTCAATGTTGCAACAGTGTTCTTTTCCCCAGAGCAACCCTCCATGAGGACCCTGTGTTATACCCCATAGCAGCCCTGCCCTGGGGAGTTAGGGTTCCACGGAACACACTTAGGGAAACGTGGATGGTAGAGGAAGCTTGGCCCCTGCTCTCCTAGGCCCTTAAACTTCCTAGTTCTCGGAGCTGTCCTGCTCCTTGGCTATAGCAAAACCTGTGAGGTGTGTCTCTGGCCTCTGCCGGGTGATACGAGGGTCCGGTGTTCATCACAGCGAGAGAGGTGGTGGGGGGCATGTCTGGCCAAGCAGATGCACGTGTCCATGGTTTGTTTGTGACTGTCTCCCTCCATGAGCCTCGATGGGGCCTGGTCCCTCGCTTCTGAGCGTTCTTTTTCTTTTCCCTTTTACTTAGAAAAAAACTTAAAAAGTCCCTCTTTGCCTAGAACCGAGGAGGCTCAGGAGGAAGCAGTCTTTCGTGAAGTGGTCCACTTCGCCCCGGACCCTTTGCCAGGTAAGACGCCCCGAGGTGCTCGGCTCATTGAGTTCACTCCTGGGGTTCCGCCCGGGCTACCACTTCCTGCCTCAGGTTCTCGCATGAATAACCCCCTTGTTCCCTCTGCTCCTCTTCTGACCAGTTAGATACTATGACCAGGACACCACCAAGCCCATCAGCTTTTACTTGTCGTCACTGGAGGAGCTCTTGGCGTGGACGCCCGGCGCGGAGGACGGCTTCAGCGTGGCCTTGGTGCCCGCCCAGGACCGGCAGCCCCCTCTGAGCAGCCGGCGGCCCCGGACCCTGCTCTGCCATGACATGATGGGCGGGTACCTGGACGACAGGTGAGGACATTGCGAGGAGATCGCCCGGTGGACGGGCTGGAGGAGAGGGAGGGAGGGCAGGAAGAGGCCAGGCCGGGGAGGCTGGAGCCGGGTGGAGAGCAGCGCAGGCCTCGGTGTTGTACGTGGAAGAAGAGGGGGTGGGTCGGGGGGAGCCTGGC